GCTACCAGGGCTCCTTTAAATGAAATTTAGGGGATGGGAAAAAATGTCATCTGTGGACCAGAACTGAAGCATGAATTGTTTACCAGTGAGTTGAGTATAAAGATTGGAAATAGGCATTTAGAAACTTTTATAGCAATTTTAAATAGTCATTTTATACATGTGCAATCTAATAATTAAAACTAATTTTTTGTTTTTAAATAAATGAAACTTAATTTTTTTTTTTTTAAAGGAGGGCATGATATTGTCTCACATATTATAATTTCCTTGATATTTCTTTTTTTGAAAAATTATTCAGACAATTGTGATTCTGTCTCCTCAACATTCATTGCTGTAACCATAGTATCTTCCGAGAAGATTCTCTTTCATTTCAGCCTACTTGGGAGAACCAAGTAGACCACCAATATAATTATGAAATGTGTTGACAAAAATGTTCCTTTTTTATTTAGTTATTTGATCTTGAGAATCAATACGTACAAATTACAGAAAATTTAGAGAACAGAACAATTGAAGTTTTTTGGGATAGTTGCTTCAGTTCTTTTTACTAAGCATTTTTCTACATATTTGTAATCATAATGTGTATTTCATTGATAGCTGGCTTTTAAATTTCAATTATTAGTATTTCTCAGGTCCTTTTAGGTTCTTATTGCAGTCTTCAGCGTTCTGGTGTGATGTTGTAGGATAAGTACTGGGCTGCTAACTGACAGGTTGACGGTTCAAACCCACCAGCTGCTCCTCAAAAACCCTATACAGAGTGCTGTGAGTTAGAACCAACTTGATGGCACTTAACAATATCATGTGGTCTTCATAACATGAAAGAATGCTTAGTATACCATTGAATAATTTTTATTATTTTGGGTTGTAGAAAATGTTTTTGTGCTCAGATCTTTTTCCATTTTTTTTAGATTATTTTCTTAAAGGAGTGAGATTACTGAACCCCATTTTTTAATGATGTTTGAGACATCGTAACAAAATGTTTTCTTAAACTACTGAATTAGATAATCCTATTAACAAAAAGTTCAAGATTCATTATTACCTTTTCAAACATCAAGGATTATATATATATTTAAGTATATAAATATGTTTTTGTTAAATGCCATCGAGTTGATTCCAACCCACAGCGATCCTGTATAGGGTTTCAAAGGAGCAGCTGGTGAGCTTGAACCATCAACCTTGCAATTCAAATGACATTGCAGTCTGATGCATTAGCCCACAGTGCCACACCAGGACTCTAAGTATATAAATATACTTCATTTAAATTTGCGTTTCATTAGAAAGATTGATTATATTTTCTTTTTGTGAATTAGGTATTTCATCTTATGAGCTGAATTTTTTATTTCAATGTGTATTAGTTTTATTGTTTTATTATTGTTTATATGTAGAGATCTACACATCTATAGATCTATACAGATCTGTATCTGTATGTAGGTAGGAGCCCTACCTACATACAGTGGGTTACACATTGGGCTGTATAGTGGGTTACACATTGGGCTGGTAACTACATGGTCAGCAGTTCGAATCTACTAGCCGCTCCACAGTAAAAAGATGAGGCTTTCTGCTTCTGTAAAGATTTACAGCCTCAAACCCTATATAGGGTCACTGTCAATTGGAGGAACAGACTTGATGGCACACAACCACAGATATAGCTAGCTAGCTAGATATAGATATATATATGTTGTTATGTGCTGTTGAGTCTTTCCCAACTCATAGCAACCTTGTATGGGGTGTAGGAGGCATTAAGTCTTTGCAGGAGCAGAAAACTTCATCTTCCTCCCATGGAGCAGCTAGCAGGCTTGAACCACAGACCTTGTGGTTTGAAGTCCAGTGCTTATCATATGAAGCCATGGATATAGGTATAGTGTTGTTAAGTGCTCTTGAGTTGGTTCCAATTCATAGTGACCCTGTAAAGCATTTCTGAGGCGCTGCAGGTGAGTTTGAACTGCCGACTTTTCAGTTAGCAGTCTAGTACTTATCCTGCAGCGCTGCACCAGGAGCTTCTTGGAAACCCTGTACAGAGTTGTACCAGCAATACATATATGATAGCTATGATTTTTTATTTGCTGCAGCTTTTTTTTTCTTAATTTACTTTGCAATTATATCTGAATAGCTGTTGTCTTACTGAATCAAATCTTAACCTTTTCCTTTGGTGATTTTTAAAATATTCTTGCCAACAGTCTTTAATTATTTTTTTGTGTGTCTACTTATTTTCCTGATGAGAATATACACAACAGAACATCAATTCCACAGTTTCTACTAGTACTGTTTAGTGACATGATTGCATTTTTCGAGTTGTGTAAGTCATTTTCCCCTCATTTTCTGAGTTGCTTCTCCCTCTTTACATAAACTTGTTTCCCTCTAAGGTTCCCATCTAACTTCTAAATTGATCATGTTGTAAGACTCTCAGAGACTTAATAGAAAATATGTCGATTCACTTTTTGCCGCCTCAGTTTTGAAATACATATGTCTATTTCTTTTGCATATCTTTGAATTAATTTGGAATTAATGGTTGTTAGGTGGAGGTCTGTGTTAAAACCTCTTTGTGATTGTTAATGAAATGTTATAGAATGACTTATTCCTTGTTTTGTGATGCAACAGTAATAATAAAAAGATGTGCATTTCTAGCTTAATAAATTGGGGGCCTATGATATCTTCCTTTGTCAGCTAATGTCTTTCCCTGTTTCTTTTTACTTGCTGTATAAAGTCCAAGCTCAACGCTGTCCCCATGTTTTTGTTTTCTTACACATGGACCATTTCTGGCTTCATTTCTACCACAAGCCTTTTTCTATTTACTTTCTGTTATGTGGATGGTTACTATTACAGTGTTAACTTCCTGTTCTGTTTCTCCATCTTTTCATTGCAGGAAGTACTCCCACAACTCCAACCTCCTTTCAAGAACCACAAAAGATTGATGTTCCATCAGTTGCACCTGCAGCTCCAGCTTCAGCTCCAGCTCCAGCTCTAGCTCCTGCTCCTCCTGCTGCAGCTTCTCTTCCACTTTCATTGGCCACTGCTCCCACTTCTACGTTCTCTTTGCTGCCTCTTGGAGCCCCTACTGTGTTTTCCTTTGGCTCTTCATCCTTGAAGTCATCTGGTTCTGTCACTGGAGAGCTCACTCCATATCCCATGGCATCAGATCATTCCAAACCAGCGCTGGGCTCGGGCACATCAACCTTCTCTTTTGCTCCGCCTTCTAAAGCCCCTCTAGCCCCCACCCCTGTGGCAGCTCCTGTGGCACCATTATCTGTTTCATTCTCCTTTGGGTCGTCAAATTTTAAACCTACCGTAGAAAGCACACCAGTGTCAAGTATGTCTGTGCCAAACATAGGAATGAAGTCCTCCTTCCCACCTTCAGCCTCTGCTGTCAAAATCAACCTTAATGAAAAGTAAGTAACTTTTTAAGAAAGTTTGAATCTTCTGTAGGATGAATAAAAGTACAGCATGTTATTTACTAGACATAGTCACTGTGCCTAGTTTTTCATTTTGTTTTTTACAAAGCAATAGTTGCAAATGGTAAAAATTCAAATATGAAAGGTTTGCTTTTGTCAGTGAGTAGAGTCCAGAAGAGTCTCTTAGGATTTTTTTTTATTACAGATTTAAATAAGTTATAAGAGATTTATATTTAAAAATATGCTTTGCTTTTTAGGATTATACATGTAGGAGATATTAATTTTAAAACATGAAGTTGTTGTTGTGAAGTGCTGTTGAGTCGGTTCTGACCCACAGCGACCTTGTATAGGGTTTCCAAGGAACAGCTGGTGAGCTTGAACTGCCTACCTTGCAGTTCACATGGCTTTGCAGTCTGGCGCATTAACCTACTGTGCCACACCAGGACTCTGAAAACATGAAGTAATAGAGAATATCTCTTACAAGGGGAAATGAATGGCTTGGAGGCTTTTTATTCTCATGTCCATTCACACCACTATTTTTTTCACAGCCACCACAGTGAATTTAAGAAATTGTAAATACATCAGGGCCATTTTCTGCCTGACAGTCTCCATTGCCCTCTTGTTGCCCTTTGGCTAACTCGTTAGCACCACATATAGTTTCCTCTTGATATGGTTCGGACCTGGTTACTCATATTTGTTTACTTCTGTGTCTGCTTAATGTGTTCTCCCTGTTACATTGTAAGTTCTTTGAGGGAAGTAATTCACTTTATCCTGTTGGCCCTATTAAGATAACTATTGAGTATAAATACTATCAGCTTTTTCTCCTACATGTAGATCCTAACCTTTGTTTGCCATGGTGGTAGTGGTTGTTGCTCATGTAAGGTGGACACACAGAGAGCCACTGCAGTCTGCTGTCTGCATGGTGTGTCCCTTTTTCTAGCACTGTGATATATTTGACCAGTTAGTTATTGCTGGTATTTATAATTTAGGAGTCCTGGTGTGGCACTATACGGAAAACACTGGACGGATAACCACAACAAGGTTGGTGGTTCAAATTCACCAGTGGCTCCTCAGAAACCCGATATGGGGTTGTTATGAGTCAGAACTGACTCCATGGCACGTAACAAAAACAATTTGTAATCTAATATGCAGCCTGCCCTTTTGTTGGAGCTGACATAACATTTCTGTTGGACCATAAACATCCCAAAGATGCCAATTTCCTTTTCCTTTTTTTACTCCTCAGAAGAAGAGGTCACCTCCCTAAAATAAGTGCTTACTAATTTATTTGGAAAAAGTGAAAATACTTCGCTCTCCAAAGCATTATTGGGTCTCTTTTCTTTTTGACTCAGGCTGATAGAATTATAGAAAATACGTATTTCCTATCATGGTAAATAAGGAGCCCCAGGGCCCAGTTGCTAAAGTGCTCAGCTGCCAATTTTAAATTTGGTTCAAACCCACCAACTGTTTTGCAAGAGACTAGAAACCTGAAATCTGCTGTCCTTCAGATGACAGCCTAGGGACCCTGTGGCACAGCTCTTCTCTCTCTTACAGGCTTGCAATGACTCATAACTGACTCAGCAACATACATCCGGATAAACTTACTTTCATCTTCATGTTGAGTACATCTTTAATACTTCAGTTAAATCATTCATTCCTAAACAAGCAGACAATAAGACACATTTCCTTATAACTTTAACCTATTGTAGTAATATCTAAATAGTTATGTTTCATGATGGCTAAAAGGCCTGTGTACTTTTTCTATGACGTATTGCTCATGACCGGAGTGAGACGACTCATAGTGCAGGCTGTTCTGATGCATTCTTGGCTGCCATTTTCAGGTTTACTGCTGTGGCTACCTCTGCTCCTGTTAATAACTCACAGAGCACACCCTCAATGCTGCCCTTCTCTCCTGCCTCCAAGACAGTTTCTTCTGGGTCAATCAACCACCCGACTCCTCTCTCAGCACCACCCAGTTCCACGGCATTAAAGCCCTCAGTTTCTCCTGCAGTTTCTCCTTCAGTAGCAGGTATGATTTTATGCATCCGACGTGTAGAATGTAGATTCTAACCTGTGTTCTGTGGTCTCAGATATAGCAGTTTTTAGAGTTGTTAAGAATCTTAGCCAAAATAGCTAGATAAGATTATGTTTCCTTGTGCCTTGTATCTCAAACTATTGTGCTGTGATTTGGGTACTCTAAGTTGGGAAGATTTGTAATGACTTCATTGTTTATCATGCTTGTCTCACTGACATTCCTTGTGGAGTGAAGTGTATATGATGATTCATAGAAGGTAGCTTGTGGTTAGTTGTTTACCTTCCGATCCAGCTTGCTCTACATGAAGAGGTGAGTTGCCAAACAACTCATTAATGCGCCTAGGAAAAAAAAGATTTACAGTGACTAATGCTTATTACTTTTGGAGACTATTCATATTTTTAGTCTCATACTTACTATAAGCAAAAATACTATCAAGCACCAGGAAAGGACATAATAATTAGAGCTCGTTGGAGCACTTGGAACATATATGCTATATTATATATGGCTTGGTATATTTCTTTAGCCATGAATTTTATTTCCTAGTTTTTCATAGTACACATTTCATGTATATAGAGTCCTGGTGTGGTGCTGTAGGATAAGCACTAGACTATTAATCACCTGGAGTGGCACTGTGGGCTAATGCATCAGACTGCAAAGTCATTTGAACTGCAATGTCAGTGGGTCAAGCTCACCATCTGCTCCTTGGAAACCCTATGCAGGGTCACTATGGGTCAGACTCGACTCGATGGCACAACAACTATTCGTAAGATAAGTGTTTCAAACCTATCAACCACTCCTTGGAAATTCTACATAGGGTCTTTAGGAGTTGGAACCAACTTGATGACACTTCACAACCACAAATTTCATATATATATAGGATTCCGGGTGGTGCAGTGACTAAGCACTTAGTTGCTAACTGAATGGTTAATGGTTGGAACACCAGCCACTCAGAGAGATATAGCAGTGTGCTTCTGCAAAGATTACAGCCTTGGAAATCCAATTGGACAGTTTTCTTGTTTCACATAGGTTTGCTATGAGTGAAAGTCAACTCTGGCAGTGGGTTTGGTTTGACTTTTTTATATCCTTCACCTAAGACTACTGGTGTGGTGCTGGACTTCGAACCACAGGTCAGCAGTTCAGACCCACCAGCTGCTCCTTGTAAACCCTATACTGGGTCACTATGAGTAGAAACCGTATTGGCGCTTAACAGCAACAAGGTGCAGCAGTTGCTAACATTTTGCACTATTTAAGAGCTAATTGCAAATAATCATGAAACATTTACCTTAAATATGATTGGAAATTTTCACAATAATGTAGTATACAGTTCATATTCAGATGTCTACAACTGTCCTGGTCATTTTCTTTTGGCTTTCATTTTTTTCTCCCTCTAATCTAGAATTCAGTCAAGGATCTTAGGTTTTGTCTCAGTAGTCTTTAATCTCAAATTTTCTCCAGTTTTGTTTTTTTCTCCTTTTCACTGCATAGACATATTTGAAAAGGTCAGGCCAGTAATTTTGCAGACTGTTTCCCAGTTTGGATTTGCTTGTTTCTATATGGTAAAATTGAGGTTCGTCTTTTTGGTATTAATGCTACCTAGGCCATGTGTAGTACATTAGGAGCACATGCTTTCACTTTGTTATGACCTGGATGCTCACAACAGTTAAGGTGGTGTCTGCCAGATCTGTTACATCTTTTAAGGTGATTGTTTCCCTGAATGCCAAAGATAACACCTAGCCATTTGTTTTGTTGTTGTTTTTTTCTGTGGGCACTAATCCACAAAATTTTTTTCTTTTTTTTTAAGGTTTTTATTGTGGATTGAGTGAAAGTTTATAGGGCACATCATCAGTTTCACATTCAACAATTCATAAAACTTGTTTCAGTACAATGATTATAATCCCCTTCATATACCATCAGTT